ATTCGAGCATTCCAAACCTCTTCAGCAAATCTTTAGCATATTTCTGTTGACATAGAAATATCCTTCGTGTGTAGGATCAACCTCTAGACCAAGGAAGTGCTTAAGTTGTCCAAGTTCCTTCATCTGGAAACGAACTGATAAATTCTCCTTCGTCTGAAGATTTCTGCCTCATCATCACCGGTTATGATTAAGTCATCCACGTACACTAGCACGATAGCTAGCTTACCTTCATTGGCTTTGACAAACAAGCTAGAATCTGCAGGGTTACTGAATAACCACTTTCGTTAGAAATCAGCAATCTTACCATACCACGCCCTAGGTGCTTGTTTCAATCTGTAGAGTGCTTTTCGCAGCTTACACACATATTCAGGATGATCTTGACTCTGAAAACCATTGGTTGGGTCATGTAGATCTTCGATCTAGCTCTCCATGAAGAAAAGCATTCTTTATCCATCTGCCACAAGTTCCAGTCTTTGTTGGCTGCAAGTGCAAGTAAGACTCGTACGGTTGTAAGTTTTCGCAACTGGACTAATGTTTCATCATAGTCTAATCCATACTGTTGAGAGAAACCACGAGCTACCAATCGCGCTTTGTACCTCTCGATTGACCCATCTGGATGGCGCTTTATCTTGTAAACCCATTTGCAAGATATGGGTTTCACATCTTTTATCTTTGGTACATATCCCAAGTTTGATTTTGCTGAAGTGCATCGATCTCTTCTTTCATAGCTGTCATCCACTCAGAACTCTTCGATGCTTCTTCGAACGTCTCAGGCTCCGTTGCTTCTTCAATAATGGCTGCATTGGCATATTTGGGATTTGGCCTTCGTATTCTTGTTGACCTACGACGTTGAGATTGTGGAATTGATTCTTCTGTTTCACTAGGCCCCTTCTTCGTTTGGTTGTTGATACACGCCAGTTTGCCACGGATTCTGAGTCACTCTTTGTTCGACATCATCGCCATTTGGATCTTCTGATTCATCTGAACTTGTTTGAAGTTGAACATCATGCTCCCCCATCTTTTGTTGTAGTTTGTCTCCAATTCTCTCGAATCTGGCAACACCTCCTTCTCTGAGGACCACCAAGAGATGCTTCATCAAATACCACATTTCGTGACGTGTAGCATCTTCCACTAATTGGATCACAACATTTCCACCCCTTTCTCTGGCTGTCATATCCCACAAAGATACATCTAACAGCTTTCTTGTCAAATTTGCTCCGTAAATGATCAGGAACAACACATAACATACACAGCCAAATACTCGAAAGTAGCTAACTGTAGGTTTTATGTTCCATAGTTTCTCAAAGGGTGAAACAAATCCTAACCTTGGTGAGGAAGTCTGTTGATCACAAAGGCTGCAGTCCTCATTGCTTCAGCCCAAAACCTTCCAGATACGTTCTTTGCATGTAGCATACTTTGACAATTTCTGCAAGATGCCGGTTTTTCTTTCTCCGCTACACCATTCTGTGTGGCGTGTTGGCACAAGTGTACTGATGACGTATTCGACATTCCCTTAGGTATTGAGAGAACTCGTTTGATCTATATTCTCCTCCGTGTCTGTGCGCAAGCAGCATATCGTCTTCCCCACTTCTCCTTCAGCTGAGTCTCTGAACTCTTTAAACTTTGAGAAAGTATCAGATTTTTCTTTCATAAGAAAACCCACACATACCTGGAGAAGTCATCAATGAATGTTACATGTACCGCATACCGCTAATTGTGTTGTTTAACCGTCCGAACACATCAGAGTGAACCAACTCCAAGGTTCTTTTGCTTTAAACTTCGACTCGTCATATGGTAATTGGTGTGCTTTACCATACTGGCATCCCGCACAGACGTCTGTTCTCTCACGTCTAGTTGAGAAGCCCCTTAAGCATCGACTTTTTCACCATCACACTTAGCTTGGAATAGCTAACGTGACCTAACCCGCATGTGACATAGATCTATGTCTCATTTTTCCTTGTCCTGTCCAATATGCAGACTCTGCTGACATCAGTAAATTGATTCCAAACGTCGTCCCTCCATTGTTGGTGTTTCTGTGATTTGACATCACGATAAACCTTCACGTCTTGGGGACCAAATAGACAATGGCCTGATGATGTAGTTGAGCCACAGATAGCAAATTTTTTCATTCCTGGGACATGGTAAACATCTTGGAGTTGCACCTGGTTAGTATTATATCGAGAGTAACTATTGTCTTACCGATGTGAGTTATCGGTAACCTTGAGTTGTCAGCTGTCACCAACCACACGACCCCCTTGTACTCAGACAGGTTTTGCAACTTCTGTTTGTCACCCGTCATATGATTTGAGCAGCCAGAATCTACGATCCAATCATTCTTGTAGTCAATCCGTTCTGGTGTTGTTACCGTGAGAGCTAATTCTTCTTCCTCCGTAGCAAATAACGCTTCAGCATCCCAACCATCTTCACTATTCTCCTTCGAACAAGAAGTAGCAATATTACTTTCAACAGGCTTTTTCTTGGTCCAACAGTCTTTGGCCATTGGCCCATCTTCCCACAATTGTAACACTTGCCATCGAACTTTCTACTATTACCGCGATTCTTGGAAGCTCCCCCTGAATGAGGGCCTCCCTTTCCTTGGTAATTTTTCACCTTGTCACCATCCTTTTTAGATCCATGCCAGTATACCGCTGAAAAGTGCCTCTGCTTTTGCTGGTGTAGAGCGCTTCCTCTTCACCCTTCAACGAGACTCCTCCCATTTGCTTGGCCATGGCTTCTTGACCTGCAAGCAAATTTCGAACTCAACAAGCGATGGTTGTGTCGGCCATCCCTGTACAGCGGCAACAAACCTCGATATCGGGTCTCAACCATGGACAATTATTCTTTTTATCCTGGCTTCCCCATAGCAGCTGTCGGATCTAATTCTGAAATTTCACGGCAATCGACTTCACCTTGAAAGTATTGGGCAAACCGCCATGTCGCGTTGCGCCATTGATAGAAGTTCATTCTCGAGAAGTTGCAATTTTGTATCGTTCCTCTTCGAAAGAGTGTAACAAAAGTCCCATGCTTCCTTTGGTGTTTTAGCATCCCGGATGTGCTCCAACATTTCTTCTTCAATTGTGGTCTTTAAAGCAAACATTGCTTTGCCTGCTTTAATTTTCCACTTTCGCAAGATTCCATTGGCATCTTCTGTCGCCGGTTGTGTAACTTCACCACCACCGACAACCTCCCAAAGGTCTTGACCTTGTAAGTATGACTCCATACATGTTGCCCACGTGTTGTAGTTTTTGTTGTTGAGCTTCTTGATTCCTCCAACTACTTGAAGATCACCCATCTAACGGCAAGGCTTTGACTACACGAACAAGCTTGAGTAACAAACGTGCAGAGTACTAAATTACTCTAAACACAAAAAGCTCCACAAGGTTTGTAATAACCTCGACAATAACTCAAGAAATATTTTCTGATGTGGAAGATCAGTTAAAAACTGCAGCCACAGAGCATACTCAGAATTCAAGAGATCTTAAAAAACGTGGCTCGGATACCAATTGTTGAATCAAAATAGAGTAAAAACTCTAATGATCCAAAAAAAAACTCTCTTTAGAATAATCTCACAAAATTGCAAAAGGGAAGAACTCTTAAGAAAGCTTTCAAATGTTTATAATTAAGCTTTGATTGTTGGATGATAAAACTCAAATACAAGTAGGGTATTTATAGGTTACAAGAAACAATCTAAACCACTCATTAAAATAAACACTAAATAATCTAAACCATTGAAATTAAAACATGAGAAAAATACTTATTTTCACCTAACTAAATTGATGTAAGCAATGACATCAAAACTAAATTGATGTAAGCAATGACATCAAATTAATTTAGGTGTGAACATAGGCTAATATTGAATTTTCAACAGTCTCACACATACTAATAAACACAATACCACAATTGATAAAATTCAACCTATAAGATATAAGAATGTTAAGTATTAGAAAAATAATATAATATTTGTGGGAAAAGTATAAGTAATTAAGGAGGAAAATAAGATTTAATTGATCGAATTTTTAAATATGATGGTTAAATTTATTGTATATTTTAAATTAAAATCAATTTGATAGAATGTATAGTTAATGTTGGAAAATAAAATTATATCAGACCATGTTAGTATAAATCATGCTGACATAACACATATATATATATATATTATGTTAAGAAATAATTTCAAAATATTTTTAAAAATTAAGACTTTTTAAAAAGTAAATTATAAAAAATAAATAAAAAAAATAGATAAGTAAACATGAAATGAAGTCTTACACTGGTTCTAATTACTTGGATTCAAACTCATATCCTGAAGGGTTTGAATTGTGGCAAAGAGTAAAAATCATTTCAGCTGGGGGGTGAAGAGGATCTTCATGTTGAGAGAGGAGGCTTTTCCTTTGCTCGGGGTCCGTGACTGATTGGGGGTGATTACTACTTCTTGATTATGGTCTGTGGTTCATTCTAAAGGGGAGGTGGTTTCGTGACAGAGGTCGATTCGGTTCCCCCTTCATGTTCCTAGACATGCTATTATTGCTTGGCTTATTATCCGGGGAAGGGTTTCCTTTCCACTAAGGATCAGTTGCTGCAGTGGGGTGTTACTGTGGATGGTCATTGTGTTTTCTGTGGCCATTTAGGGACGAGGGACCACCTTTTCTTCTCTTACTCTTTTTCGAAGGATGTCTGAGAGGGTGTCTTGCGTCAGTGTAATTTGACTCGGAATGTCATGGCTTGGGATCAAGAAGTACAGTGGGATCTATCTTTGCTTAAAGGTAAGACCTTTAAACTTAATAAGGGAAGTAGTTAGTATTCAATTGTATATTTTGAGCACACCACACACAAATCCATATCATTTACTCACGTATCGAAAGTACACGAGATTAGTGATACATAATGAAAAACACGCAAGCACACATTGGTTTTCGACGGAGGAAGCAGGGTTTTATTATAGTAGATGCACACAAACAAGCACACACTGCCTGACTCGGACTCTGCGGTGCCCAAGTAGCTATTCAGATCGAAGAGCTGAGTGACTCTTGTTTGGTTTGGAAGTCGGTGCTGTAGTAATTAGAACCTGTGTAAGTGTTACCTTGCACTTCATATACAATACCACTCCCATTATAAAGACTGTCCTTTTGCAAGAACGTGAAAGGAACATCGCACTTGCCTCTTTTCGCAACCAAATCCACCGTCACCTTTGTCATCGGAGGCACTTTAACTGGTGTACAACTTCCACGACCTTGCTTGTCGTCGTGGTCTGTCCCAATCAGATCCAGTCTGAACTTCACCAGATAACTCGATCTTCCCATCTAAAATGATTGGAATGTTAAATTGCAGGGTGGTTTTGGCTCCTACCTTAAGTGAAGCCATCCACTTCCAATACCCACTCCATGTAAAGCTTCACGTTTAATGTATCGGCTTGGCCGGTATAGTTACTAGCAGAATTCCTGGCCACAACAAGGACGGTTTCGTCGTAGACCCTGGCGTTATCGAGATCGTACTTGACGCCGAAAATTTTCCTTCCCAAGACAGGCTCTTCCACCTTCAGCTGGACATCCTTGGTAATGGAGGAGACTTGTGCAGCAAGACAACTCGTGTTTGCGTCGCGGATGCAGAATTTGTTGTTGCCCAAGTTGAGAAGAGCTATTGAGTCGTCGTTAACTTTGACAGGGCGGAACACGGTGTCCATGTTGTTAATGCTGCTAGTGTAATCAGAATCCACCACAATCGAATCCGAATTATGCCTCCAAAATTTAGTGGAAGAATCGGGCTTGATGCGAATGTTACCGTCATTAGTCACGAAAATCTCCATTGTCACATCTGATTCACCAATATCTTTCGATGCAAACTGCAAAGACGGTTGGCCGTTGACATCACGAAGACACAGATACTGACCATCAGTTCCTTTGAACGCCACATACTTTGGAAGAATTACGGATGTGTCCCAATCAATGAGCACGAACAAATCATTGTGAGAATAATCGAAATCTTCAGACACTGCAGACGCTCGCCAAGTTCCGTCTAGTATCCTTAAATATCGTTTCGATTGCACATGCCTGATTCGGACTTCAGATGCCGCATCATCTACAGAGACAATCTTGAACAATGTGCACAACTCGTTGGATCGGTCTTCCTCCGGCTTCTTCGCGGTCACAGTAATCTCGCTGTTGGTGCCAGCAACCCAATATTTGTTAGTTTGACAGCTCCTTATGTGCACTAAGCCATCCGTGCCAGGACTTGTAGCCATCTCCACCTCGAATTTGGCATATGGGCTCAAAATCTGAGTTTCCGAACTTTTGACACACCCGTAGGACTCTCCCTTCTCACGGATAAACCCCAAATATTGGTTGTTCACATTGGATTTCAGCACGATAAAGCTTGCCGAAAAAAAAAACCAGTTGGCAAGCAACTCCCAGTCGAAGACCGTGAAAACAGAATAGGCGTCAGCAGTGGTTCTGCTGGATCCCGTGTCGTCTAAGTACTCCTGTGATTGCACATGCTGAAATCGAAACTTATTTGTTGCAGTGTCAACTGAGATAAACTTGAATAACGTGCATGCCTTCTTCGATCGATCCTCCTCCGGCTTGTCAGCGTTTGCACCATAATAATAAAAACCTTGAGTCTCAGTCCCCGGCCATAAGGGAATAGGAGCATAAAAGAGTCGTTCACAGTATTTGTTGATGTAACAGTTTTTTATGTGCACCAACCCGTCTTGGGCGCTAGAGTTAGCTCTCTGCACCTCAAACTTTGTGCATGGAGTGCGCAAAGCCTGAGTTTCAAAACATTCGGCTCGCCCATTTAAACTCGAAACTCGACAGCTCAAATATTGGTTAGCCCTCTCGGATTTAAGCACGATAAACTTTGGCCAAGTAAATGCCATTTTCACAACCTCTCTCTCTCTCTCTCTTTTACTCTTTAGTTTGAAAGATGATTTCTACCAATTAGCTATGTATTTGCTCTCTATTTATACCCATTTTCTTGATTGCCCTGTTGTGTAAAGATTGTTCCTCCGAATCAGAGATGGATGCTGACAGTAGTATTTCTTGAAAAAATTAAATTTATACATAGTATATGAATTTTCTTTATATTTTATATTGATGATTTAATTTTGTATCCTCTCAAACTTTATAATTCACTATCCTAAATTTTTAGTATGATTTTTTAAAAGTTTATACCCATAATATAAAATTATACGTATGTTCCTGCTCCCGGATAGTAGGTAGAATAAACTAAATCATTCAGCTGCCAACCTTAATGACAAAATTATTAACAAACGTCGATGATTAGCATAATTAGGATTTATATCAACTTGTATTAGGTTTAATTATTTATTATATTGTCTTTACATCAAAGTGGTTCACTCAACCAATCAATTTAGTTACCTTGCAACATTGTTTACTTTTGAATACACCCCTGCATCCCACTCCATTGTTTCCCACTCTTGGAAGGTAATTAAAATTCATGACGATGGGTTGCAACTAGGGATGTCCATTTTACCTAGACTCACGAGTTATTATTCGATCCTATTCGATTCGATATAATATTATAATTATTTTTTATATATTTAAGGATAATTACAATAATACACTTTTTTATTTTTTATTTTTATTTTTATTTTTTATAATTACAATAATACCTATTTTGTTTGTTTTCCCTCTTTTTGTCACCCTTTTTCAGGACAAAGTCGAAAAACCAAAAAAAAAACTTTTCGATACAGTGCATAATCAAATAAAACAATCAAAAAAATTGAAATTGTTCGAACAACAAAAAATGCAGTTTGGTTCGAACAGTGCAGAAATTGAGCACAAAAAAATTTGAACATTGCAATTTTGGTTTGGATGAGCAAAAATATATAGTGCAGAAAACCAGTTTGGTTAAAAAAACATTGAAAGTTTCCAAACAAAGAAGAAAAAAATGAGAAAAGAAAAAAAAAAGTGAATAAAGCTTCGATTGTTTGATCTCTTGTTTTACTTTCTTTAATTTTATCTTCCCTTGATTTTATCTTCCCTTTATTAATCCTTTGGAATGATCTTCTCTTTGTCTTGAATTTTTCACCCAATTTTTGGCCTTTATCCTACCCCGAACCTTAACCCCATTACAACCCTTTTTAAAGACCTCTTGACTAATATATCGTGTTCATATTTGGTAGTGGATATTAGATTTAGTTAAAAGCCAATGGTAATGCTTTGATTAGTTTGGCTTGAGCGATTCTTTTACCTGAAACACTTGAGCGGAATGAGTGAACCAATGTGAGGTACTAAATCTTGCTTCTTTGAGATTAATGAATAATTGGAATGTCATGCTTTGATTTAACCTTCTTTTATTTATGTCTTTGCTTGATTGCTGTTGGATTTTATCATTTGCTTGATTTTGATTTGCTTGGAAGCCGTGGGAATTTTGTGAAATTGAGATAGCAACTTGAGATTTATAATGCATTGATTGAAAATGCTTGAGGACAAGCATTGAATAAGTGAGGAGGAATTTGATGAGTGCTTAAATTCGTTATTGTTTTATTGTTAATTACTCATTTGTCGGTTTATGTTGCTAAGTTGGGTGTTTTCTCTTATTTACGATGTAGGACATAGGATTCTAGAAACTATGCTAAAAAGGATGAATTCTGCAAGTTTTAATTTTTCTGGAATCATGGTTGGACCGGTGGACATGATTTGGGGCATGACTTTGCTGACGTGTATATGAGTTAACATCTTCTAGAAGGTACAATCAACATTTTCGTGAAAACAAAACACTCAGCCGAAAATTCAGACGTGAATTTAGGATTTATCTTTATTTTTAGGATTTATTTCAAACAATTAAGGGAATTATCTTTTGCAATTTATTAGGAATTATCTTTTGCAATTTCTTTACAATTTATCTTTGCATTTATTAGGAATTATCTCTTTGGATTTTTAGGGTTTTGAGGAGACTATAAACACCCCTTGGGGTAAGCCTCAAAACACATATGGAATTCTCTCGTTTTTCTTTCTTCTTGTTTTCTTTATTTTATAAAAGTTTTTACTTTCAAGTTTTTATTTTATTTTTCTTTTAACATGCTAAGTATGATTTCTATCATACTTAGCTAAGTTCTTCATAGCCAAAGGCTGAAGCGATGACTCAATTCCGATCGTGAGAATTGAAAAGCACTACAAACCACTTCGAGTTACATTCTCAGTTTTTTGGAATCAAGGATCTGTAATCGATCATCCTTATATAATCAAAATGCTTTCAAATCAAAAAGTCCTCGTTGGCTTGTTAGTTGTTTCAGTTAACAACTGGGAGGAAGGATCGACTTGTAGCACATTCGACTTTATATGAACACACTTAGCGGAGGTCCGCTATTGGGACCTGAGATCGAATTCGATTCTCAACGAGACACTGTCCCAGTTGGGGTTTTCCAAAGCTTTAAAATTGAGTGACGCTAATAACGATTGTCGTGATTAGACCTCTTAAGGACTTACAATCAAAGATTGTTTTGGATTGTTGGTTTAATTGAGAGAGAAACAAGTTGTAGGGGTTGGGCCCTATAGATTGTAACCGACATGAATCCAATGTGAAAAAATTTATTTCGATGATCGATGAAATTTAAGACAAAGCGAAAGCCGGGGGCTAATTTTTATAATTAGAATTTTAATTCAATTTTATTTCCTTTCAATTTAAGGCTAAATTATTTGACATCAAAATGACGCGTTGTCAGTATCTGACTATCACAGTACCAGACATAACATACGTTGTGGGATTGGTAAGCAGATTTATAGAGAAACCAAAACAAGATCATTGGATTGCATTCAAGAGAATTTTAAGATATGTCAAAAGTACAACTGATCATGGTTTATTTTACAAACACTAAAAAAATCGAAGTTAGTTGGTTATTTTGACAGTGATTATAGGGGAGACTTAGATGATCGAAAGAGTACTTCCGGTTATCTATTTCATATCGGCTTTACAACATTTTCATGATCTTCAAAGAAGCAACAAATGTAGCTCTTTTGACATGTGAAACATAATATATAGCAGCAGCAACATGCACTTGCCAAGCAATTTGGTTAAAGAATATTTTGAGCGAGCAAGACTTTTCACAAGAAGAACCGATAATAATTTATGTCGACAACAAATCTACAATTTCGGTTGCCAAGAATCCCGTCTCCTATAGCCGAAACATACACATTGATACAAAGTATCATTTTATATGAGAGCAGGT